TATCGAGGAAGATGTATGAAACATTTTTGATATTTATTTCTTGTTACAAGTTTTGCAATATTATTGAATTTATTTAATAAATTGGTTAGGTTAGGTTAGTTTGAACGAATAGAATTTTACATTATAGAAAAATAATTATTGTCAAGCATGTTTTTTTTTTTATTAAATTTCAAAACAATTATGTCACATATTTTGTGAGTATATCATCTATGTATTATACATATGTCACCTATGTACTTTTTGCAAAACGACAAAGAAGTTAGTTAATTACATGATTATCAACAATGAAACAAAAATCACGACATGTTTATTGCATCAATGATTCTCGAACTTGTATTTTTATACTGACCTATATTTCACATCGAGATAAAATTTTTGAAATACCTCTTATTTAATCCATAAGCAAAGTGACCATCATTAACATTACAAGTAAAAATAAGTAATAATAATTAAATAAAAATGTCTTGAAACTTGAAGGATTAACAATGTTCATCAAAATTTCGCAACAGCCGATATGAGCAGGGTCGATTATCATGCTCATGTTTTATCAACGCAACGTTATCGAGTTAGTCGGTTGTTACAACGTGGCCAATCGGGTCTCCGGAATGCTCGATTAGTGAATAGCGTGTTACAATGGCTACACGTAGTTACAGATCGTATCGGCGATACTGTACGTGCAAAGCAACCGGTTCGTTAAATTCTGACACAGCTTGGAATAATAATTTTACATCCACCAATCGTGTCTGCGCTCGCAGCGTGTTCGCTAAGTGACTTTCATACCGCTGCAACTTCGAAAGCTTCGGGACTTTACCTTCTATGTACTTTAGCTAAGTGAAAATTCAGAATTTATACGGGTTTCCGTATAATTTAATAACGATATTTATGACTCGAAATACGGCTATTCTTGGAATTGGAATCTGCTTCGATTTTCGACTTCAATAATTTGGAATAAAGGATTTTGATTTGGAAATTGGAAATTGGAACTTTATAATATTCTTAAGACATTGAATATTAGAATATTACAATATTACTATTAACCTGTACAATTTTCAAAATTTAATTTTAAATTATTGTAGATGCCATTTTACCTTAGCTGACATTTACGTTAGATTTAATTTTAATATTCAATACTAATATTACTGTTACCTTTGCTAATAACCTAACATTGCTATTATTAGTACTAACATCTCCTATTATTAATTGCAACGTACCATAATTAGTATCAATATTGATGTATTATCATTGTTAATATTGATGTTGGTATTAGAGGTTAGATTAGTATTAAGGTTATAATCATCGCCCACGTCAGATCATCGCACAATGCTCCGATCAATACTTTTGCAATAAAATTCTTAAGTAAATTCTCTGATTGAAGTTTAATTTTTCAAGCTTGCTAAATTGAAGATCGAAAGTTTAGTTCAACCGAAGAGTTCTTCAATTAACGATTAACTTTCTATCGCTAATTGAAACTCTTCTACTTACGAATCAAAATTTAACTTGTAATTCAATCGTGTTTAATCAGACTTCTAATTTATTATTTTTTTAAGTACTTACTTCAAGTTTATATTTTTGAATGAATATTTAACTTTGCATTTTTATAAATACAAGCATACAAGCAAATCATTTAATAGTTTCAGTATGTATGTTGTTGTACATTGACGGCAATGTATGTATGTACTTGTGAATTGACAACAATGTATGTGTGCAGTTGTAAATTCATAATAACGTATGTGATTGTACATTGATAACAATGTATGTAGTTGTAAATTGATAATTAATATATGTACCTGTATATGTATAACATTATAATGTATGCATATGTGTGTATAACAAAGCATGTATGTAATTGTAAATTCATGACAACGTATGTATGTGATTGTACATTGATAACAATGTATGTAGTTGTAAATAATTAATATATGTATGTACCTGTATATGTATAACATTATAATGTATATATATGTGTATATAACAAAGCATGTATGTAGTTGTAAATTCATAACAACGTATGTATGTGATTGTACATTGATAACAATGTATGTAGTTGTAAATTGATAACAAATATATGTATGTACTTATATATGTATAACATTGTTATGTACATGTGTGACAAAGTATGTATGTAGCTGTAAATTGATAACAAATATATGTACGTACTTGTATATGTATAACATTGTAGTGTATGTATATGTCAATTGATGCCAATGTATGTATGTAGTCAAAAATTGAGAACAATACAATGATTCATGTTAGTAACATTTATTAAACATTTACGTAACACCTATCCAAAAAACAATTAAGTTTAAGAGAAAAATAAAATTATAACTCCTTCATCAATCTGTTCGAATCTACAGAAAATATCAGTCATACCAATTGCGTGACCATGGTTATTTATTTGCCTTATCCTTCAGATCGAAGTGAAATATATCTCTTTCTACAATTTCGAAACATGCATTCCCTTCCATGGCGCAACGATTAATGTTCCCTTACAAAATGTGCAGTTGATAAAAATGATTAATCACAATCAGTCACATGAACATCTAACAGAGCAGCATTTTCGTTTAATAAACCCGCGAAAATGTCAAATGAACACCATTTTCCCTCAACAGAAAACTCGCTGTTAGAATTTAGGTGAACCGAGACAAACTTTCGCGTACCCCATCGTAAGACTTCCTCACATTTTTCGGTGCACTTTTCCCAGCGAAATGAGCGAAACTTTCAAATGGAAGCCGTGTTTTGTGATTACCCGCGAATCGATCGAAAGTTAGCGAAATTTTTCTTCTGTTACGCCGACGAAATTGCATTGGTTTTATATTTCGCGGGGACCTTTGCAAACTTTTTCTACTCGATTTGTAACTGGCTTCACGCATTGTGCACCTGAGAACCGTTTTCATTGCGAAATTCATTTCCTTACTGTGTTTAGTTTCAAATGAAACTGCAGAACGAAGCTCAGCAAGAAGCTGAAGTGAATGCTACCACACACAGAAACACTTAAAACAAAGGATCTAATTGTAAAAAATTGAAATGAAAGTGCAATTGAGGGGGAATTAAAGTCACATTGAAATGCAAGGAATTGTGCTTTGAATCGATCGCTATTATTAGGTTAGGTTCAACGGTGAAAATGGTAGTAATTTTATTTAAAATGGACTTGAGAAATTAATTGAAGATCGACATCAAACTTTTGTATTATCTTCATACTTTATGTAACTTATTTTAATAAATATAATTTAAAATATTTTTGATTCTTATTGGACTTATAGGACTGTTTTTTTTATTTGAACACTTTGTTCATCTTTCCATTCGAACATTTAAATAATAACAAAAAAATTGAACAAGTCTATTGAATGATACTTGTCATATGTAGAAGTTACTCTCACATATGTTAATTTTATTTAATTATGCGATATACAGTGACTTTGTATTATCAAATTTTTTATAATTTTATATCATAAACATGTAGATATGTATATCTTATATTATGATTCTACTATGACTCAAAAATATTTCATTTTACAAAATTTTTTACAAATTTACACTACATTATATCACACTAAAATATCTCTGAAATAAAATCCTCCAAATCGACACTAAAAGGCGATCGATCTAAAGCGACATCTAAATAATGAACCACTAAATGATCTTCAAAGGTTTCAAGGAAATTTCACTGCCGTAAGAATATTTCTAAGAAAAGAGAATATTACATCACAAAAAAGTGCCTTCAGTATTTTAAGCGGTTTAAATGAAACCCCGTGTATGAGGCTAGCAGAGAATCTCGAAAGCATTTTATAAAATATATATAAAGAACACAAGATAACTTTTCGTACTTTCAGCAAAAATTCCGTCAGAAAGCAGTCTGGCGTGGAGCATGCTTTTTACAAACTTCCTACCGGTGCACTAAAAAAATTATAATCCTCGAAGTTGCTCTTTGATGGACATTACAACGACAGAAAATTGCCTATGGAAATTTTTGGAACCATGCACGAAGAAACTTGCCACAAAGTAGTCAATAGGAACGTTCAGCGTCTGCTTGTTTCACATACTTAATTTATTAATACTGTTGAACGAGTAGGCGAGCAGATATTCGTGCAGAAGATCAAAATCGTGACGGAGTACATTGAGAAAAATCTTGGGAGAAATAGTTCGATACTTTAGTGCTGCATAGATGTAGAGTAAAATTTATTTTGGATTAGTGTTGTATTTTTTTGTTTGATATAGTGTGACTTGGATGGTGTCGTATTTTTGGACTTCAAATGAGCTTCGAGCTTCAAGCTTGAAATGTATATAAATGTCTTAAGTATTCTGGTCACAGCTAATTCAAGTTTAATGTTCAAGCATTAACTGTTCAGTCATTAAAATAATCTTCATTACTCACTATCATCATTAACTAGCAAATTCACTATCACATACATTAGCATCACAAGATGAGTTAACTCAAAAAACCAGAACTGATTTTTAAAATTCTGCAAGTACTAATTTCGACAAATATATTTTGTGAACATCATATGTTCTTTCTGTCACAATTGTAAGTAATTTTATGTGACTGTAAGTCTAACCTCCAAATATCAAATGTAACACTTCAGCCTAGTAACATGGTATTACAAAGTGATACCATTATGATATTATATATAAAGTGATCAATTATGTAAATAGATCAAGCTAGTTAATATAAGTCATTGTACACTTAATTGTAGTGTAGGTGTCAGCTCTATGCAGCAGTAGAAGTACGAAATATTTACAGATACAGTAAACTCTCGTTATATTGCCACAAACAGTATACTCAGAAAATTCCTCCAGTTTACTGTTCAGTTCACAACTCTAACCAAAAAGTTTCCTTACTAAAAAGTTAATGTCAACGTGATACTCTATGATATAACATAGTAAAGCCATCTTATGTGTGTGATATGAAAGTGAAGATGTCGATATAACGAGAGTATACCTAAATAGCCGAATGTCAGAGAGTTATGCATAAAATCGAATTTCCTGAGTTAAAGGATGCGTACCTTGTAACCTAAATAGGCGAGTAGCAGAGCTTCCGTTAGTGATACCATTGCCAGGATCACCTGGACCACCCACAATTCTAAGGGTCTCCTCACCCATAAAATCGCATCCCAGTTGATGGTCGGGTGCTCCTGAAATTCTTCCTCGGTGAGGTTCTGGGATACCAGGAACTCGGTTTTGTTGCCGGGCGTGCAGCCATAACTGGAAAGAGGGATATTTTTTAACGAGATCGACGAAGTTCAGGAAACCGGAGACAAAGCAAATTTTTTAAAAGCACATGATCGAGTTTCAGAGGGGGCATTTTTTAAAGCGACATGGATAAAGTTCTGAAAATCAGATAGCCAGCTAATGGAACTTGTAATTACGATCGTAGGGTTTCGGGATCATAGTTCTAACTTGACGGACGCCATTAACGCTTTAATTTCGTATTATGCACTTCACATTTTGATATTTAGTTTTCGTTTTATGTTTGTGTAACTCTTTGTACCAAATGTGTTCTAATTCTTATGCTGCATTTTTGATTTTGGAAAAACGAGTCCTGTTTTGTCAATGTAGTATAAAAATTTTATAAATTTATCATCATTTTACAGTATTAATTTGGTGGAATAAGATATTGTGTATTTCGGGTTGCCTATTGCAAATGAAATCGAATAAAATAAGTAAAAATTGTAGCTACGTACAATAGGTAGAAATTGTAGCTGAATAAAATAAATAAAAATTGTAACTAAATAAAATAAGTAAAAATTGTTGCTAAATAAAATAGGTAGAAATTGTAGTTGAACAAAATAAACAAAAATTATAAATAAATGAAACGAGTAAAACTTATAGATAAATAAAATAAATAAAATTTGTAGTTAAATAAAATAGGAAAAAATTGCATCTGAATAAAATAAATAAAAATCGCAACTAAATAAAAAAAAAAAGTAAAAATTGCAGCTCATTAAAATAAATAGAAGCTGTAGCATAAAGTACAAGTAAAAATTGTAACCAAAAAAGAAAAGTAGAATTAAAAAATAAAAATGTCCAATCTATGTAAAAGCATACTATGTAAAAGCTATGTAAGTGCATACAAAAGAAGTGTGGAGAGATAATAAGAGAAAGCGAAGAAACAAGAAGAAAAAGTAAATAAGGGAAACAGGCAAATATTACGCACGGAGAGGCAGTAATTTAGAAAATATAAAAGATAGGAGATAGCAGAGAAGGCAAAGTGCAGTCCTCTAGGAATTCTTAAGAAGTATCGTGGCTGTTAAAGACTCGCGGCAAGGAAACGCGATACCATTTCAGCTTCGAAGTCTTATCTCGGTTTTATTCTCAGCCGCGATGCTCGTTCTACAAAATATCGTAATCTTGCGTGAATGGTTAAATCGCGAGTCAAGATGGGTTCTTCAACCCTGGACAAAGAAATTTTCCGTCTCTTATGTCTCCGGAAAGATTTCCTCCGGAAAATAGTTGTAAAACTTTAATGTCGTTACAAACTATTCGCTTCATTACATTTGCGATTACACTTTTCTTTTGTTAAAGTGGTAATTTTTTAAGGAATTATAAACGTTACAATAATATATTCTATAACTTGTTGTCCATAAAATAAATGAAAAATGAAAAAAATGATACATAAAAAATAATACATATTATAAATGATCATTGTTAAGGAGTTAAGAAGATATTTTCTGATCAGTAAAATTAATTATAAACCTCTTCAGAGATTTTTTCTTTTTCTGTCCTCTTTTTTATAAGCACCGATAGCATTGAAGAAGTTGAAAGGGTTTCAAACCCTCATTCATCCCTTCCTTAAATTAATTTATTTCTCGATATCAAGTTAACAGAGGAAATCAATACAATAAAGAAGCCTAGAGCTAAATTTAAGAATTGTTTAATCGAACATAAACAATTGAAGCATTATTATAGAAATGACTTCATTTTTGAGAAGTTTTAAATCAACTTACATGTAGAGAATAAAATGATATAATCTGTTATAAATAAAATATCATGATATTAATTGTAAAAAATAATGTAATGACGATTTGAAGACTTTAGGAACAAAAAACTTGATAACGTGGGCTAAATAAATATTTTGTTAATTATACAATGCATAAGCGAAAGAAGTTACGTGAATTAGTAAATTAGAACCATTCCACAGAAGAGAAAGCTATAAATTACTTAAGTTTATGACATTAGATAAGTATTATATGACTTACCATGCTGCATAAGTTGGATCCGTGTCGGTGATGACCCTGAATATGTATAAGAAGCATGTTAGTAGCTTGAAAAATAGGTTAGCCAATCGTATCCTCAGACCTGAAACAAAAACAATTTTTTTTTAAATTATTACTCCATACAAAATTATCTCAATAACAGACATTAATGAGCTATTTTGCGATATAATTTGAAATTGGAAGAACATATCTATATTTTTACTTTTAAATTTTCCAACTAAATGAGCAGCTGATCAACCCACGAGTGCATTAGATCATTTCATAAGAACATATTTATTTATTTATACTTCACAAATAATATAAACAAAGAATATTAGCATATCATGCAATCGTTTGCAGTCAGTACCAAATTGCAGTCGTATATTTTCCACTTTTACGACAGATAGTATTTCAGATAGTCATCTAAATGCCTCACATTGTAAAACAACGCTATTAGATTGCAAATATTAATGCAAATATATATATGTTTCCACAATATATATTGCTACCTGTTCATCAGTATCACTTTATTTTCCACATTTCATCCATTCTACGTATTGTAAATGTCACATATTGATTTCAAACATGTTACGTGTAGGATTTGCGTGTATTTTGTATATTTCCATATGTCATAAATGCATAAATATCCGCAGCCTAGTTATTATATAACACTCCGCTTTTACTGATAACACCTTCGCAAAGTACTGACGTCAACCCCATTGGACATGTGTGAACAGAAATGAAAAGGGAAGTAATAAAACATATAATTTGTGGTGAATATTAAAAGAAAACTTCAGGTGGTTTAAAATAACGTGGATACTAAATGTACACTAAAATTTATTTATAATAAATCTACTTATACTGAAAATATTATACAAGTTAATATTTAAAGAATATACTTAATAATATACTTTATAATATTTAAAGAATAACATTTAAAAAAAAAAATAAAATAAATAAAATTTATATTTGTATAAAGTACATGTACACATTTACACACATGTAAAAAATACATTTACACATATGTAAATACAAATTTTGTTTAAAATACAAAATGCATTCACATATAATATACATGTGTATGAAACAAAAGCTTCTATAACACACTTTATGTGTATTAAATACAAAATGGAGTCACACATCAAATAAATCTAATAAATGCATCCACATATGTTATATATGTACAGGGTGTCCCGCAATTAGTGTAGGACCCGAAAAGGGGTGGTAGGTGGGGCGATTCTGAACAACTTTTTCCTTTGCCAAAATATTGGTTGAGGCTCCATTTTCGAGTTATTAGCAAAAAACACTGACCAATGAGAGCGTGCATAGACCGGGCGCGCGAAAGCATGAGCGACAGCTTCGAATATGACGGCTGATCGTCGTCGTGAACAAACGTATCGATACCGTCGGTATAACGTCGGTATA